TGCCTGAGGCACTTGTTGAGGTGGCCCTGCCCCTTTACTGCCCACCACAGTTGGGAGAGTTGGCCCCACTTCTTCCTCGGCAGCACCATAGGGCAGATCCTGATTTGGGGTGGGAGGGGTGAAGCAGCCCCCAGGGCACGAGCACTGAAGAGCTGGCCCCACCCTTGGTTATCTGTGGGTGGCTCAGCACCCCACAGACGTGCCCTCTCCACCCCCTTGTCCCTCTCGACCTGTGGCAGGTAACCCCTGAGGTCATGAGAGCAGGAGAGCTGACCCTGCCTCTTATATGAGATAGCTCAGGCAGTGCCCAGGAGTTCGCCTGGTGGTGCAGACACAGGAGAGCTGGTGGGCTGACCAACTCAGCTACCTCCCAGGCCCAGATCCAGGGCTATGAGTTGGCCTGCGCCATCTATGGTCTGCTGGGGCGCATGAAAGGGCTGGTCGTGCAGATTCAAAGCTTCGGGATCTCCATGACACAGAGCAAAAACAGGCTATCAGAGGAGTCCAGTAAGGATTCAGTATTGATGGTGTAGCAGAAGCCAGAGGCTTCAAACCAGACCAGTGACTCATTGCAGTCAACATTTGCAAGTAAAGATTGTGGACATAGGGTGTGACACACTACAGCTTCCACGAATTTTTTTTTCTTTTTATTTCTTATTTGCTTTTGTGGGGGAGGTTGTAAGGGCAGAGGGCAGATACAAAGGTACAAGGAAAGATGAGTGGGATTGGGGTACATGATGTGAAATTCACAAAGAATCAATAAAAAGTTAAAACAGATAATAAAAATAAATCTTTAAGGCCAGGTGGCAGCGGCGCAGGCCTTTAATACCAGCACTTGGGAGGCAGAGACAGATGGATTTCTGTGAGTTCAAGGCCAGAAAGGGCTTCTTGGAGAAACCCTGTCTTAAAAACAAAACAAAAACAAAAAGAAGTGAATAAATAAATAAGTCTTTACAAAGCAGGCAGGTTAGGGCTGGAAAGATGGCTCAGCAGTTAAGAGCATTTGCTGCTCTTTCAGGGCACCCAGGTTCAATCTTCTGCACCCACCATTTGTTCCAGAGGATCCAGTGCCAACTTCTAGCATCCATGGACACCAGAAACATGTGTGGGGCATTGACATACATGCAGGCAGAACACATTTTTTTTTAAATTTAATTAAAAGAAAATGTGGGCTAGGGTCAAAGATTAACATTTTGCTGGTTACAGATAGCCCTGAAGTTTCTCCTTTCTATAATCCTAAATCCCTGTTTTAGAGGAAATATAAAGCATCAGTGAAATATTATGATTTACGGGTTTTTTTTCTTTCCTCTATTTGTTCCTGAAGCCTCTGGTGATAGAAATGGCTATCCTTTCTTTTTCTGTTTCCTTACAGCGTTGGAGAATATGTTGGTCATATCTTTAGCTGTTTCAAAAGTGCAACTGGATAGACGTACAGACGTACAGCCACTGTGCTTGAGGCTGGAACTTTCCTTATTGGGTTTATAACTGAGAAAACCAGAAAATGGTACATGTTACTAATTATGAATGTGTGTTACCTATTTAAGTAGGGCTAGAAAATGAACGTGTCCTCTCAGGCACTTAAATTGTGAAATAGATTAAGGTTGTGAAATGTGAAGACAGAGAAATGAAACTATAAAAGGGAATTTGCTTTTTGTTGTACAGATTTTTTTTTTTTTATAAAATGACAATTGTAGAAATAATCAAATTGTACTCTCAACATTGTTCCCACAAATAATACAAGACTATTAAAATGAAATGCTAATTTCTTTTTATATATAACTGGAACATTGAATGCTTAATGTACAAATTTCTTTGGTAATCTTTTCCTTCTGTTTTTATTTTTAAAATATTATTGCTACATATTTTAATTTGGCTTATTCGTTGTACTTGAAGTAAAAGATAGCAACTTTTGTTTAAAATGTTTCTTTTAAAGCTTAGGAACTGAGGATTTTTTTCTGTTGGTGTTAGATGGCATTTCTGGTTTTCTTTTTTAAGATTTATTTATTTATTATGTATACTATGTTCTGTCTGCATGTACACCTGCATGCCAGATCTCATGATAGATGGTTGTGAGCCACCATGTGGTTGCTGGGAATTGAACTCAGGACCTCTGGAAGAGCAGCCAGTGCTCTTAACCTCTGAGCCATCTCTCCAGCCCCACTACAGTGAATTAATTGCCAAATCATATACATACAGTAAAATTGTATGCCCTAAACATGGTGGTTTAGGGCAAGTTAAAATACAAATGTTTTAATTCATGGACAGTATGACTCTAAAATCAATGTGAAAAGAACTGTCAAATAATATAAATAAAACCATCAGGTATTAGTGACACACACCTTTAATCTCAGCATTCAGGAGGTAGAGGCAGGCAGATCTCTAGGAGTTCAAGGTCAACCTGGCCTACAGAGTGAGTTCCAGGACAGCCAAGGCTACAGAGAAAATGTCTCAAACACAAACAAACAAAACAACATCAGCAAAAACCCTTTACTGCCTAGGGGAGACAGCATAATCAGGACCTTGCACTCTAAATGTGCTCACTCCTGTAGTTCCTCAAAGTGGAAGAAACTCAACTTCGTAATAGTAGTGGAAAAATATGTTTGTACTCTTATCTGAGTGAAAATTTATTTTAAAAAAAATCATACGAATGATAGAAAGTACTGAGGACTAGAGAGATGGCTGTGGTTAAGAGCACTGGCTCTCTTGCAGAGGACCCACGTTTGGTTCCTCACACATACATGATGGGCCATCTGTAACTCTGATTTCAGGGAAACTGCTGTCCTTTTTTTGGCCTTTACAGACATTCTATATATTCATGATACACATTCATATGTGTAAGCAAAAACACTCATACACATAAAATAAATACATTTTTAAAATGAGTAAGTAAATAACTTAAAACAACAATAAAAAAAATTCTAGGTATGGTAGCACATGCCTTTAATCCTAGCAGCAGGGAAGAAGAGGCAGGGTGATCTCTGTTGGGTTCTAGACTAGCCGGGGTTATAGAGTGAAGCCCTGTCTCAAATAAATACATGACTTTTAACCTTTATGGCAAAACCTGGCAAAGCAAAATTACATTTGTAATGTAGATCATGTGGGGCGGTAAAATAATGATGTTCCTATTATTAGATTTTTAGATCTAGTATATTTCAGTTGTAGAGTAAAGGAAGGCCATAGGATCAAGCCTTAAGACTACTTCAAATTAAAAATAAAGAAATCCTTTACAACTTTATTGGCTCAGTGAGGAGAGGTTTTCTGTGCAAGCATGAGGACCCTAGTACTGAAAATCATCACCTGAGTAAGAACAAGCATGGCCCCACCTGACTGCAATCCCAGCACTGGGAGACGGAGACAGTAGATCTTAGGACAACAGTGAGCACCCTGTCTCAGTAGTGGTCGCATCATGATGGAGGGAGGTGCCTGCAGCAGGCACCTCCTGACCTACACACACAGGAAAGCATGTGCACACATGCACACTTTATCGTAAGTTTTCTTTGTGTGACTTTTGGAGTTTTGAGACAGGGTTACCCTGTGTAGCCTTGATCGTCCAGATTTGCTTTATAAACCAGGCTAGCCTCGAACTCACCAAGTTCTGGGCTTCCCAGAGTGCTGGGTTAAAGGCATGTGCCACCATGCCTGGCGATTGGTGTGACTTTAAGATTAAAACAAATACAATAACATGTTTATGAACTGTAACCATGAATGCCCTGGTAGTGTAAGATACAAGTATAAAACAGTGCTTTGGCAGGGGAACAGCGGACACAAGAGTCCATAAACTGTGATTCATTCATCTAATTATTTTTGCAATGAACTAGTGCAGATTGCATGTGGACTTCAATCTGTGTTCATGAATCAGTCTGTACATAATTGTAACTTTAATCCTTAGAACAGAGGACCTGAAAACTATTAGAGGAACATAACATTTATGAAACGTCCCTTTAATAGATGACTTTCGCCATTTAAAAAAATAATAAAACTTCCAGCTGGGCATCCCAGGGGTGATGAATGCCTTTAATCCCAGCACTCAGGAGGCAGAGACAGGAATCTCTAAGCTCCAGGTCAGCCAGGGCTACACAAAGAACTCCTATCTCAAAAAGCAACAACAAAAATTCAGGGACAGAAAGATAAGTACTGCTTACTGTCACTTATATGTGAAAGCCAATTGCTGATCTAAAAGAAGACAAGAGAATAATGATCTCATGGGAAGGTAGGGTTAGAGAAATGGAGGTTAACAGGTAAGGGTACAGTAGGGTAAGAGGAATAGAGTTCTGTAGTATGATAGGATAAATGGTTGATAACATAACAATCAGGTGTTTCAAAATGGCTAGTTTAGGCAGAGATGTCTTCATTGTCTTGAAAATCCTGGCTTTCTACCCTGCTGTTATTTGGAGATTGAGTCTGTCAAGTTACAAAAAGGGAAAAGAAAAAGAAAGGGTAAACCATGGTTTCAAGCAGGGATTTCGCGCACGTGGTTTAACATAACTAGAGCCTCCAGAGAGAACCCCAAAGATACAGCAATTCATTCTTAGATGTGGGGTGACTTTAAGGATGTGGTACTTTCTGAAGACTTGAATGTCCCCCCACAAACAACCTGTTACTCCTAGAGTGAATCATTGTGAGTCAGGTGTGGCTGTGGCGGTATTTTCTTTACTCCTAGCACTCAGGAACGATGAGAGGAGGATCATGGATTAGGGGCCAGTCTTCACTACAAAGCAAAAATCTGTATACAAACAGATAAGAATCGATGCTATCAGATTGTACGATATTTAATAGCTCTCTTTTGGGGCAGCAAGATGTCTCTGTAAGTAAAGGCACTTATTGCCAAGCCTAATGACCTGAGTTCAAACCCCAGAACTCCCTCCATGATGGAAGGAAAGAATCATCTGCATATGTATATTTACGAACAATCACAAATAAACAAACAAAGGAAAGATTTTTAATGAAAGTTGTTTTTCTTTGTCCTTTTTATTAATATTTTTAAATCTTTGTTTTTACAGGACTTTGCATCACGGGCTAAACTGGCAGTTCAAAACCTAGTACAGAAAGTTGGATTTTTTGGAATTTTGGCCTGTGCTTCTGTAAGTAGATTATATTAAAGTTAGAAATTTCACCAAATGGTGTGAATATATTTTGATCAATGTGTATAAATATTTTTTATATGTATAAGTGTTTTACATTTTTTATTTTGTATGTATATACATCTACTACACTCATGTCTGGTGCCTGCAAAGGTCAGAAGGAAGATCAAAACTTCTGGAACTGGGATTAAGGTGGCTGTGAGCCACTATGTGGGTGCTGGGAACCAAACTGTTCTCTGAGCCAGCCCTTCAGCCCCTCGATTTGTTTTTAAAGATACAATCCTGAATGAACAAAAATGCTTTTGTTGTTGTTGTTGTTGTTGTTTGGGGGGATTTTTTTTGTTTTTGTTTTTTGTGTGTTGTTTTTGTTTTTTTGAGATAGTGTCTTATGATGTAGCCCTGGCTGGAACTCATTGTGTACACCAGCTAGCCCGGAACTCACAGAAATCATTCACCTGCCTCCACCTGCTAATGCTGGGATTAAAGGTGTGCCCAGGTGTGCCCAGCTATGCCCAGCTGCAGTCAGTATAAATATTGTGAATCATTCATGTTATTAATTAGGCTTATTTGGATTGGATAGGTTCATAGTGTTGTTTATTGACTTCAAGTATTTCATCACAAAATAATGGCTTCAGGTCAAAAAGGCTTGATTCAGTGAGAACAAAAGAAATAAAATCCATTATTCCTACAAAGAATTAATAATGAAATGAATTAGATAAGTCTTTTTCCAGAGTTGTAAATATTAATGGGAAGATTTGCATAAAGCCTGACTTAAGCCGTCTTAGGTCCTATTTAGGTAATGGCAGGTGCCTTGGAAGCATAAGGAATTCCGTTTGGATTCTCCGAATCCCCATAAAAAGCCTGGGTAATGACATGTACCTATAATTTCAGTGATGGCAAGATAGCAGATAGAGACAGACAGATTCCTGATACACAGAAACGTGCATACACACTTAAACCAAATGTTGATGTGCCTAAATTACTGCTGTTGATCTTGGAAATACTAGAAGTTTTCATAGTGTAGCTCCTTTCTGATGCAGTCCTCTATTATAACTGTAATGAACAAAATGGCACAAAGGCTGATAGGAAGATTTAAGATAATATTTGTGATACACCAGATACGGTCCACATCTCTGAGGAGTGGAGGTAAGAGGATCTTCCTTAGTAACACAACAGGTTTGAGGGTTTGAGGCCAACCTAGGATACATGAGATCCTATATCCAAAAACAGCATGTGGATTGCCAAAATGACTCAGCCGGGAAAGGCACTTGTGGCCTGAGGATACAGAACCTGAGTTCTACCCCACATTCCAAGCTTAGGGAGAAGATACCTAGCTTTCCTCTCACATTCACATGCATGTATGCACGTAAGCACACACATGGTAAACAAATATTGTGCCTCTCACACAAATGCTCATCTATTTTTACTGGGATTTATCAGCTTTTTATCAACTACATCCTAGGAGTAAATAAGGATGCGGCTATAGCACATACCTGTCATCTCAGCACTTGGGAGTCTGAGGCAGGAGAATAGCTGTAAGTTCAAGCCCACTCTGAATGAGTTTGAGACCAGCCTGATCTACATAGTAAGTTGCAGATCAGACAGAGCTACATGGAAAGACTGTCTCAATCAAAACAAAGCAATAGCAACAAAGAACAAAGAAGTAAATATTTTCCTTGGGAAGGATGAAAGGAGGGAGGAAAGTGAAAGGAGTTTTCTATCTCAAAGATCCAAAAGCCATTAATTAGAGACAGTTGAAATACAGTGTTAAAAGTCGGCTGTGGTAACTGCACCCTGAACTTGGTGGGCAGAAGCAGACAAATCTCTGAGTTCTTCTAGGCTAGCCTGCTCTACAGAATGAGTTCCAGGATAACCAGAACTGCATAGTGAAAGCCTGTCTCAGAAAAATAAATAAATCTTTAAAAGTTGTGATGCATGCTGATGCATGCCTTTAGCCCTAGCTCTGAAAGAAGGGACCGGGGCAAGGGAGAAGAAAGAGAAAGTGTGTTAAGTGATAAGCTGAAGAGCCTATTAGATAGTAAGGTTAATAATGTTCTCTTTTTTTGCCTTTTTTTAAATTAATTATCATTCTCCAGGTGGGTTCCTAGTAAGGGGAGCAGGGGCTGTCTCTGGCATGAACTCAATGGCAGGCTCTCTGACCACCTCCCCCAGAGGGGCATGCTGCCTTGCCAGGCCACAGAGGAGGACAATGCAGCCAGTCCTGATGAGACCTGATAGGCTGGGTTAAATAGAAGGGGATGAGGTCCTTCCCTATCAGTGGACTTGGATAATAATGTTCTTAATTTAAGGCCAAGAGAACAAGTTGAGAGCCCATCCACGGAAGTGCCTTAATCCGTCTTACCATTGTTCTCTATAAAGTAGGTATAATAAATATCTTATAGCATGTGGGGTTAGGTGTGTTAGTGAAACAAACCACTTAAAATAACCCAACCAGTCAGAGCACTTGGTGAAGACTAGCTCTTATTATTCCTAGGAAAAATGAAGTTTGACTGTCTAGTATTTTTTTTTTTTGATGTTTCACTAGTTATTTTGATGTCAGCATTTAAACTAAGATAAAATCCTTGTTGAGAGAAAAATTATAAAGCAATCCGTAGGGGGAGGGTTGTTTGTTTATGTTGTTTTAACATACCTGGGTGTGTTGCCTGTATTCATGTCTGTAAATGGTGCCTGCAGGATCCACTGGGACTAGAGTGACAGACAGATGGTTGTTAGCTACCATGTGGGTGGGAATCAACCCCTACGGAAGAGCAGCCTCGGAGCCATGTCTGCAGCCCCATAAGGAAGTAGTTTTCATTCTAGTTGTCCTCTTGGTTTGTTTAGGTGTACCTTTAGGGAAAGCAACAACAACAAGCATGTCTCCTAATGGCTTGATTATCCTTTCCTGAAGAGTATTCAACCAGAGCGAAATAGCCAGCAGGTTGACAAGTTGGAATTTGTATCTGTTCCGATTTTCATTTTAAACTAATTTCCATTTCGTGTGGGTTGAAGTAAGAAAATAAACAAAATTAGCTGGGTGGTGGTGACACACACCTTTGATCTCCGTACTGGGGAAAACAGAGACAGGTGGATCTCTGGGTTCAAGGCCAGTGTGATCTATAGAGTGAGGTCCAGCATAGCCAGTGCTACACAAAGAAATCCTGTCTTTAAAAAAATAAAAAAAGAAAGAAAGAAAGAAAGAAAGAAAGAAAGAAAGAAAGAAAGAAA